CCCCAACTCTTAGGCTTAGGCAATTCTCTTGCCTCAGCGTCCGGAGTAGCTGGACTACAGACACCCGCCACAACACCCGGCTATTTTTTATTACAGTTTGGCCCAGGGCCGGGTTTGAACCCACCACCTTTGGTATATGGGGCCGGTGCCCTACCCACTGAACCAACAGGTGCCGCCCCGACTATGGATTTTTTCTGCCCCTTAGTATCTTAACTTCTTTAGTTCTCAACATGACCAATTATGTTTTGTTGATTGATTGCATTTAGGTAGATCCTTCTCTGATGTCACATTAGGAGACCCTTTAATTTCATCATCAATGATCTCACCTCATTGTAGATTGGGTGTTTGGTGATGAAAATGAGGACACACTTTCCCACAGGCAGTTAATTCTATCCATGATTTGTGCATACATATTATCTTCAGTCACAACTGGTGACACTTTGTGACCTAAGCATCCTGCGTTTTTTCCTGACTTTTCGTGTGAGTCCTTGTTCTGGGTCTATAGGCTTTTATATAAGTCATACTTGGTAGCCTAAATATTCTGTCCTGGCCTCACTAGTAGCTTGAGTAAGGGAGAGACAGAATCATTTATCATTTTGGTTGCTCTAATTGAAAGAGTAATGCATTTATGTAGAATTTTTTAAATTACGTTCTGACTCATCATGACTTCCCTTTACTGTAACTTGAATTTATAATCTTTGATTCGGCCTCTAGACAACATTACTAACTACACAGTAGATCTGATTTGAATCACTGTCGGAAAGACTCTGGGTATCGTTTTTTTCCTTATTAATAAAGAAATTAGTTTTTATCTGTGATATCTCAGTATATTTTGTTTATAGGTATATACCATGTAATTTATAGCTGATTACCTTTTTTAAAAGACTATGACTGCCTTTACAGCTACATAAGAAAATTGAAAATGTTCTTATCAAAGTCAAATAAAGCACTTTCTTTGTTTTTGGGGGGTTTTTTGTTTTTTGAGACAGAGTCTCATTTTGTCACCCTGGGTAGAGTACTGTGTCATCACAGCTCACAACAACCTCAAACTCTTGGGCTCAAGTGATCGTCTTGCTTCAGCCTCCCAAGTAACTGTTATTACAGGCACCCACCACAACTCCCGGCTATTTTTAGAGACAGGGTCTCTCTCTGGCTCAGGCTGGTCTCAAACCTCTGAGCTCAAGCAGTCCACCCGCCTCAGCCTCCCAAGTGCTGGGATTACAGATGTGAGCCACCGCATCCGCCCTGTAAAGCACTTTCTTAAAAAGAGGCTTTTACGTTTATTCATTCTAGTTTTTACAAAGTGCATATAATTATCTTAGTAAACTGCGTTTTAAAATCAACTATCAACTCAAAATGTGAAAATTAAAGCAAAAATGGGATGTTAATTTCATCAACATCAAAATTCCTATATATTGAGGGAGCAGAAAGAAGGAGATGGTGGCCTTGTCCTCCAGGAATGTTGGTGCTGGGCTGGCAGCTAACTCAGTCTGCACCTCATTTACTGTCCTCAACTGCCAAGGAAGGTGAGTTTTCTCTCTCCTTAAATTCCAGATTATTTCTCAACTCCAGATTAATTGCTTTAGAGTAAGAAAAGATTCCTTTTCTACATATAAAATGGGTAAATCAGTGTTGTAAGAATTACAACGTCGATTACCGGTTTATAAAATAATGCATAGGCAGAAAATAATAGCTAATTGCTGCTAAATATCTAAGCAATTAATTAGTCCCTGTGAAGTCCCAAGTGCTTTAGTATCTTCTGCCAGTGTCCCCATGCATCTTCTATCAACATACATCTGTTTATGGTTAAAAAAAAAAACTGCGATGTTTATCTGCTTGGATGATCAGCATTCTCTCCTTCAAAAATGTCAAGTTGATGGAATGTTTCCTTTCCCTCTCTTATGGTAAATTATACTGGAGAGGCTAACCACCACATTTGAAATGCCATCACTAATAGTCACCATGGAAACTGGGGATCTCTGATGTCACACTGCCCATACCATTTGCAAAAGGGCAAATATAACTGTTACTCGCCACTATTAAAAAGCTGTTTGACACCCCCAACAGAATGAATTTTTTTCCTTTGGCAATTTTGGCTGGGTATGAGATCCAATCGTCTTTCTGTTTCCGTTTGCCAAGCTAATTGCTATGCAGCAAGGGGAGCAGCTATTCCCCAAGATCCCCTGACGGCCTTCGTCATAAGCAGCATTCTATTTGTGTTCTTTCAAGTAGAAAATTAATATGGCCATTGGCCAAGAATTGTACAAGGCTGATAGATTACACAGTGATGGTGAAAAACGAAGAAACTGTCTGAATGGTTGATGACAGCGATCGCTGGAGTCAGGGACTGCTAGCCATTTTAAATCTATTAAAAAGCCACGGAAGGGGTGAGGG